ACCAATATGACCATGTTGCGAAAACAAGGTCAAACAACCTCTAGGAAATACTTATGCTTGATTGATAGATAGCAAATAGAGAGATGTTGAACCGCCATCCAAAAGAAGGTGGTAAGTATAAGGATAACTCGCAAAACCATTCTATATCAATCTGTTTTCGAATTCCTTTTTGCTTGAATGAGAATATATAAGAGATAAGATAGAGCCGGATAGTATTCTTGTCTTAGTTTTAACTTGATAATTTTACAAGAATGAGTTCCAGCTCTGATGATGTCCATCATATGATGGATGAAAGCTCAGCCCGTTTTCACCTAAAAAGAGGGAGGATGTCTCGTGGACTACATCAATATCAACGTCGTATAAAAACCAAAAAGATACAGTATAACAGGATTCAACCGTCCTATTCTTGTGAGATCGGCAATCGAATCTCATTTTACACTTTCACACAAAATGAAAGTCCCAACAATAAATTTTAGGAAAGCAAGGTTATGTGAAATTCAATGAAAGCGTCAGGTCTACTCATATCAGTAATAAAATTAAACTGCTAGTCCTTCATCACCTTAAACGAAATAGGATGGATACATCTCATATAACTGATTTAGTGGTAGTCTAGAAATTTCGTTTATAAAAGAAAAATACATGCTTGACCATCTTTAGTTCAATATTTTATCTTAGCTATACGTATAGTCTTTCATTCTATCCTTCTTACCTGGCTTCTATTGGCAACAGCCTTTGAGCGGATACCTTCGGCAACCAGAGCCGCACGAACAGCCGGCCAAAGGCCAGCCGAGCGTCTGGTCACAGAGAAGGCAGTTTTTTTATTCGATATAGCAGACCAGCAGATTTCGAGCACCGCCTCCGGTGTTGGATGCAAAAATTCAGCACTGCAAACAAGGGAAGTATGTGGTACAGAGGCAATAGGTATAGTACCAGACTCAACGCCGCAGTCTGAATCTGGAGTAAAGCCGTTCAAATGCCTCTCGCTTAGGCTTGACTGAGTGATATACGATTTTCTGGTAGAATTATTGAGTGGTTTGTTGTGCATGTTAAGCCCACGGGATGGTGTTGCTGATGGAAATGGCCGGAATGCGAAAGAGGTTGACGAGTGAGAAAGTAGATATTCAAGGCTGCATGAGACGGATTCGATAGTACCCTGGAAGAAGATGGATGTAAGCAGTGCGAAGGAGTGGCAAATGGATAATGGAAAACTTGATATTAAAATAAATGTAATATAAATATTATAATTTTTCGATATCCATTTGCAGCATACGCTCCAAAAATAGTTCTGCCCATTGATAATCCAACTACGATACTGACTAAGATTCTCAAGAGACAACTAAGAGTGGGCCAGATGAATACATGACTATAAAATAAGAGGATCTGATGCCGAGTAAAATCTATTAAGTCTCATTGAAAATGTGACATTAAAAACCTAGGCAGCATATTATTACATAATTTAAGTCATATTCTTAGATTCCAAATGAGATGATAAATTAAATGAGGGAGCACATATTAAATTTGTTACCATTTAATATAAAAGGAGAAAATGAAATAGTTCCTATACCATTTTCGCCAAAACCAATGATTTTTAGGTTCTTATTCAAAGAATGTTTAATCAT